TGGCGCAGGATAGAGCAGGGTTTAGGGCTGTTGTGCATAGGGACGCTATGAGTCGGAAAGACTCGATGGCACATAACAACAACAACAACAATAGCTTAATGTGACCACATTGTGCTGTAAATGGAAGGGAAGATGCCCAAGCCTCAAGAAGTTAAACCTGGAGCAGAAATTAAAGGGAAAGGACTTTTCTTCAGAACCATCTGAAATAAGAAGGTTTCCCTAACATTAGAGCTTTATATTTGGACTTATAGGCCCCTAAACTCAAGGGACACTGATCATAGCATAAGAAATTGGCAAAATCTTGATGAATTTGGAATCACAGAAACCCACAATGTTTGAAACATAAGCTGTCAGATCAAGGGTCGTATAGCAGGCGATAGGTGTTAAAGGGAGTCGGTGGGAATAGAAGTGAATACTGGTGGAGCAGGGAAAGGGGTGGGTCAAGATACTCATGTCAAGAAAAGAGACAAAACTAAAACTACTGGCTATTTCTCCAATTGGGAAAGATATTTTATTTGCATTGTTCTGTAAAATGCTTGTCTATTAGAGACTTTTCTAAATCTGAGCATTCAGATTAAGACAGACTAGGAAGAAGGATCGACCATCCACTTCCTAAATAGCAGGCCTTCGAAAACCCTATGTACAACAGAACACACGTAGACTAGTAGATAGGGAAATTGATGTGGAACTTCCAAGTATGGAAATACAAAGGAAGCAGACACTGGTGGTTGGAACATGGAATATGAGAACCATGAATGTAGGAAAATTAGATATTGTTAAGGAAGAAATGGAATGCATAAATATTGACATACTAGGCATTGGTGAGATGAGATGGAATGGCATGGGACATTTTGAGTTGGATGATCATATGATATATTACTCTGGAGATGAAAAAGGTGAGAAAAAATGGGGTTGCTTTCATAGGTAAAAGAGTCATTTCTAGATCCGTCTTGAAGTATAATATTGTGAGTGTCAGGATAATATCCATATGCATACAAGGAAGCCCAGTAATACCACTATCATTCAGATATATGCACCAACAACCAGAGCCAAAGAAGAGGAAATATATTATTTCTACCAACTTTTACAATAGGAGATTGATCGAACATGCAATCAAGATGCATTGATAATAATGGGTGACTGGAATGCAAAAGTTGGGAA